GGTAACTGTTGTATGGCCTATTGTGATTTATAATTCCTTAAAATGTAAGTTTTGAAAATTTGTCTTTTCACATGTACTAGTTTCAAAATACGTCTTTAGATACTGTTTTTCATTTGTAAAAGAAATGAAATTTTTTTTTGAAATGTTTTTTCAAATACCTCAAATCTGTTGGTGGGATCTTTTCACCCTTTTGATTATTTTTATTCTTGCCTATTTTTGAGTAACATCTATAGTAGTACTTTTATACTCTACTATTGCAATATAATTAACACTAGTTTGTGCCACATGAACGCAGTACAGCAGCAGATAAAATATGACTATTCTTATAAGAATGTTGTTTAACTTCCCACATGAGCAGCACTGTAAAAGGATTAACTTTATTTACTTAAATTGATTATACTTTCACTTTTGTTATATATTAATTAAATGTTGTTTTTCTATACATTTTTATAGGCCCTGACTTTGTTGTTTGTGATGAAGGCCATATTCTAAAAAATGAAGCATCTGCTGTTTCAAAAGCTATGAATTCTATACGATCAAGGAGGAGGATTATTTTAACAGGGACACCACTTCAAAATAATCTGATTGAGTGTGAGTTAATACCTGCAGTTATGATGTAGAGTATTAGCTTTGCCACTTTGCCTTTTACCTTTCTTCGGTCTACTTTTGTACAGCCTCTGACCATGATCTATATAAGTCCATCTTAATCTACTGTGAGAGAATACCTTACATTTCAAATGGAATGCTTTGTAAATATGAATGGTAAACCACAGCTAAGAGGTGTGTCATTGTGAGTGTTTAAATATAAATACAGAATTTGAAATATATAAAAAATATCAGAAGTCTTAATGATGGCTTTAAAAGCACAAATGCATTGACTATTCAGGAGATAACTATAACAGAATATATCCAGTTTTGGGGGAGGTACTGATAGCAAATTGAAAAGAAATGACAAGTGTGAATATTTTAGGAAGGTGGAGATGGGCAAGGAGAGCTTTGATGAATCCATGTTAGCATAGACTTTGTGGAGGTGGAGGATAGATGATATGAACACAGGGAAGTGACTTTTGAATTTCCTTCATTTTAATTTGTGTGCAATGATAATAAACAGGGAACATGAGTTATTCAGCAAATAAGAAATTAAAATTTCCTGTTATAATCCATTATAGTAGCATTTTGTTATTTTTACGTTTTCATTCATTTAGTGTATTTATAGTAATTTAACCGTTTTTTACTATTTGTAATACTGGTTAATATTTCACTTTAGCCTATATTTTCTTTATATTTATGTGTTCTGGTTTTCCCCTTTTCTTTTGCCCCACTTATACAAATGCTGTTTCTCATTGTGGTCTGATTTGTATAGGGTAACTGATAATTCTGTTAAGGACTTCTGAAACTAAATCAGTAATATAAAATTTGATATAGTAGCTTATTACCTGAATTTATTATTTTTTTATTTTATATTTTAATATATAAGTGTATTAAGTCAACACATTGTACATCTTTATATATATATATATATATATATATTAAATATATGTTTATTGATTTCGTAGAGAGGAAAGGAGAGGGATAGAGAGATAGAAACATCAATGATTATAGAGTCATTGATCAGCTACCTCCTGCATGCCCCCTGCTGGGGATCGAGCCCGCAACCGGGCATGTGCCCTGACCGGGAACTGAACCGCAGTCTCCGGGATCCTAGGTCGATGCTCAACCGCTGAGCCACACCCGGCCGGGCTGAATTTATTATTTTGATTCAGTATCTGATTTTTTTGGTTTTGCTTTGTGTGTTTTTTTCCCCACAAAATACTCTTGTTGATTGTAAAATCTTGGTTAGAATTATAGAATACTTGTTTTATACTTCATATCTATTGTAAAGAATAGTGAGTTAGAATAAAATGTTGTTAGGTCTTTTTAAACATTCATGTCTAGAATTTATTTGAATTTATTGTTTTTTATATTTATTCTGTTAATCCTCACCCGAGAATATTTTTCCCCAGTGATTTTTATAGAGTGGAAGGGGTAGGGGAGGGGGGAGAAAGAGAGAGGGGGAGAGAAACATTGATGTGAGCGAGACATATCAACTTGTTGCCTCCTACACCACCCTGACTGGGGCTGGGGATCGAACCTGAGACCCTTCAGTGCGAAGGCTGACGCTCTAACTATTGAGCCACACTGGTCCGGGCTGGTTTTTATTTGAATTTCTGATCTGGTTTAGGAAATCCAGTTCTAGATCAGACTTGTAACCAATGTTTAATCTACACTCAATTTGGTGTTCTTTCTTTGTAGATTAATTCTAATGCTTCCATGGCATGCATTTTTTGACATGAGCACCTTATCAGAAAATTTTTCTGAGACCTTTTTGCCATTATTGTTGTTAATGAACTAATGTCTTCTCTCTTAGATCACTGCATGGTTAACTTTATCAAGGAAAATTTGCTTGGCTCCATTAAGGAGTTCAGGAATCGATTTATAAATCCAATCCAAAATGGTCAGTGTGCAGATTCTACCATGGTAGATGTCAGAGTGATGAAGAAACGTGCTCACATTCTTTATGAGATGTTAGCTGGATGTGTTCAGGTACAAATACATTCCATAGTAATAAAATATTGTTGCTTTATTATATTGCAATTCCAAAATGTTTTCTGAAGTTAAACTTTATTTTCTGTTTTCCTCTCCCTTTTCAGTATATAGTTTTACACTTAAACCTCTTTGCATTGTCTCTAAAAGTTTATGCAACATTGATTTTTTTAAAAATTCCATTCAGGCTTTTAGACCGTAATTGATTAATTTATTTGCCAGGTATATGGCTTCATATTTTGATATGTAAATGTTTAGATTATTCATCCTTAAGATAGGGAATATGTAAAAGGAACACAGTTATGATGAAGACATTCCTTTGCTCATTCTAAATCTATGGTATTCTAAACTTCACTTATTTGAAATGGTTGTGGGAAAGACATTTAGGACTTATGAGAGGTGCCATTTTTAACGTAATCCTGAAGAAACAGTTTTATTATTGTCAAGCACAAGCAAAAACCTGAATTGTCTAGTAGTGTTGTTTATATATACATTTTCAATGAACCTATATTAATGAGTAGATAACTATATAGAGACTGAGCCAGCAGTTAATATATCTCAAGATCTGCACTTTTTCTTCCAACACTAGATACTAATGGTAGCCACAAAGAGGTAACAAATGAGACAGGCCATCCTTCTGTCTGGGTATACTACCATCATATAAGGCAAAGTCATCCTGTTTGTTCAGGTTGGCCACAGGTACTAGCAAGTACTCTGTTTCTGTGTTGCTGCTACCACTTCGGCAGCATTTTTTCTGGATTGGGTAGTCATTTGTATCTTGCACATTAGTGTTCTTTCTTTCTTTTCCAATAATTGGTTTCAAGAGTGTTTATATGTGGCTTGGTTTCTCAGTTGGGCAAAGATTCCCCCTGGAGTTATGTGTTATCCTCTGGCACGTTGGCACATTTTACACAAAGGACAACTCAGAGTGCATCTGACTTTGACTCATCAGTTTTACTGTATGATTAAAGCAAGTCTTTTTGCTAGCACTACCTACTACGTCCCCTACCCTCCTTTTTTCTTTTATATATGTAGAGTAGACCACTTGAAAACCTAAATTGCTCACCTGGTAATATGACCACTTTCATTTAAAACCTATGTCGCAGTATCTTTTTACCAGTGCATCATATTGTGAAGTCATGTGAAATAAATTAACTGCAATTATATGGGAATCATTGTGTGATTTAAAGAGGGTAAATCTGTTTAAGAAGATGTTTTCTTATATGTTTGTACCTACTTATTTATGTGTATCTTTTAGTTGGAAGCACTGATAATTCTTAGAGCAGTTAATTCCTGTCATATATTTAGGTTAACTAATCTTCATTCTCTTGTTAATTACAGAGGAAAGATTATACAGCGTTAACAAAGTTCTTGCCTCCAAAACATGAATATGTGTTAGCTGTGAGAATGACTCCTATTCAATGCAAGCTCTATCAGTACTACTTAGATCACTTAACAGGTAAAAAAAATACTATTAGTTTATTGTTTTTATCTTTCCTGTAAAGACACTCTTTTCTGTAGAGTACTGTCTTAGTAATTTTACTGTGTCAGTTCTTTTTCAATTTTGCAATTGAACAAAGTTGGTATGCTTATTTTGTAAAAGCACAAATATTTCTAATTTAAAAAAGCACTAATGTTGTAAAAATAAAATCAAAGAATAAACAGCTGAAAAACCATACACAGCATATGTGAATAATACCCTTAATTTGTATAAAGCTTTTATTTCAGTAAAATTATAAATGTGAATAAATTCATAAAAGAAAATACATAGAATTCCAGTATATCATTAAAAACCATTCAACCACATTAATAATAAAAAGCATGTAAATCAAATCCATGAAATCATTTCTTAGTCATCAAATTGTCAAAGGTTGAAGGAAAGGAAAAGGCAAAATACAAGGCAGAGCATATATTATGCTCCCAATGTTACAATAAAAATATATGCAAATGCCTAAAATATACCAAAATGTTAAAAAAGATTGTTTTCTGGGTGCTGTCATTATGATTAACTTTTACTTTCTTTCTTATTCTTTTATATGGGCTTTTAAAAAATACCATGAGTAGCTATTGTTTTATCATCAATAAACTTGTATATGTGTGTTTCTGTGGCTATGTGCCCAAGGTTGTCACTGTTCACAGAACAAAACCTAGTCTCTGTCCTGGAGTGGGATTTCTTGTTGGTCACTTTATTCTAATACCTTTCCTTAAGTGATGTGACAGGTTTATTTAGGGAATACAGGTTAGAAGGTTCCCTTCAGCTATTGTGGATACAGTAATTGATTAAAAAATAATGGAAGGTGGAAATGTGCACACATATTAAAACAATACTTTATATTATATCAATAGTTAAAGTGATCTGCTTATAACAGCAGTGCATTTTATAGTGTAGAATGATGCTTCTGGCCACAAGACTTGTTCTGCTTTGGGGAAAATAGGATTTGAATGTTAGTATTTTATAGAACTTCTTTTTTGCTATATTATAAAAAGAGAATTTTCTTGTTGACTGTTGGAAGAAAAACACCTCTCATAAAACACATGTTTTCCTTTGTATATCAATCAGAAGCTGTAAGATTTATTATACCATTTTGTTTTGAATGACAATATTTGTAGATATAATTAAGTAACCAAATACAGACATCCTAATGAGGGAGTTACTTTGTAGTTTAAGAAAGAGAGAGATGTTCATACCTCTCTTTTCCTTAATCTCTGAGTAATAAAGAGTGCTAAATTTGGTCATTTAATTTTTTTTTTTCCATTTAAAATTTTGTTTTAGGGAAAGTGCAAGCTACAGTGTTTTCAAATATTAGAAAATCACTTGTCTTTAATAACCAGTAGCAAAATGTTAATAGCTGATATATAGATGTTAAATGTACTCTTTTGAAAGCAATGCAGTATTTAAGAATTAAAATGGTCTGATTTTTTGTTATATTAAGTGATAAGAGTAAATATCTAAATTATTAATTGCCAAAGTTTCAAAACTCTGAGTGGTATGATTGTTAAATAACAATTTGGTGCCATTATGAAAAGGTCCCTCACACTAAATATGACGTTTTCTTTTCTTTTTTTTAAAATTTATCTTTATTGATGAAAGTATTACAGGTGTCCCATTTTTTCCAATTGACCCCCTCCACTTTGCTCCCACCCCCTCCCCAGGCCTTCACCCCGTTATTGACTGTGTCCATGGGTTATGCATATATGCATCTAACTTCTTTGGTTAATCCCTTCCCACCCTCCAGCCCCCTTCCCTCTTTCCTCTGAAATATGGTCGTCTGTTGCATGCGTCAGTGTCTCTGGATCTATTTAGTTCTTCAGATTCTTTTGTTCATTAGCTTCTTGTTAAAGAAGACCCTTCAACATTTCCTGTAGTGCTGGTCTGGTGGTGAAATTCCTTTAGCTTTTTCTTATCTGTGAAGCTCTGTATCTGACCTTCAGTTCTAAATGATAGTTTTGCTGAGTAGAGCAATCTTGGTTTGTAGTTCCATGTTTTTCATCACTTTGAATATTTCTTGCCACTCCCTTCTGGCCTGCAAGGTTTCTGTTGAGAAATCTTCTGACAGTCATATGGG